TGGGGGGAAGCTCACTTGCTCTGCATTCATTTTCAACATAAAGACCATTCCAGCCACGATGTAAATGGAAGGAAATTTCTTCAATCTTTAAACACATATTTACTGTCTTATGTTCTAGGCACTTAATAAATACTTCATAAAGTGTTACTTCAAAAGGTAAATGCATTTTTCCTAAGGAACTGATCCTATCTAGAAAATTTAATCAGAATACCAGAATCCTCTTTAGAAGTGGGCTGAAAGAAAAATGTGACACAAAATAACTGATTTCTTACTTTTGTCACAAATTACACATTGATTACCACTGACAAGGACTCAATAATCAGTCTATTATCCTACTAAATGGATCTTCAAAAATAGGGTTTATCTCCAATATCCACTCCAAACCTGCCAACCATTTACTTGATCTATATTTACTTTTCATAAGTAATGTGAGGGGAAGTGTGTACTGGATACCTATAAAGAGGCATACACAACTCTTTGAAGAATTAATCAGGGAAAATTTTTGATGCCTGTAAATATGAAAATATTGCCAATTTAACTGGCTCACCAAAACCCCTCAAGTTCAAATGCTTGGTCTTCAGCCTTCCTAAGTTATTGAAAACAGCTGTGTTTAGGATATTTTTTTAAAAACAATTTGTGTATTTTTTCCCTGTATTTTGCCTCTGGTTCAACGCTTCTATCCACAGAAAAAAATAACTGCCCAAGCCTCCAGCTTCTGAATATAATATCTGGTATGTGCACACACCAAAAAGCTTGAGAGAATGTCCTAGTTTGTATTTAAAATTTTTTCATTTAAAATGAGAATGCCTTTAGCAAAGATTAGACATAAATCAGCTTTTACCTTATTAGGAGATTGCTATTTTCAACATTTACCTTAAACCACAACATGGATTTATCTTCTAACCAGTTAGCTTCCTGTCTCTCCCCAACTAGATCAGACTAACATTTTTCAAAGTAAAGGACTATTGGACCCCATTATCTGTTACCCAGCTAATATATTTCAAAAGCTTTGTAAGTTTCCGCAAAGACATAAGGGTTGCTAGCCTTAAAGCTTTAAGGATTTCCCTAATACTTCATAGCTATTAAGAGCAGGTGTCCTTAGCTGTTGCTATAGTTGTATACTAGTGGGTTCTCAAAGTGCGGTCCTGGACTCCTGAGAATTTTCAAGACCCTCTTAGGGGGCACATGAGGTCAAATGATTCTCATAAATAATATTAAAGTGTTACTTATATTTTTTATCCTCATTCTCTCACAAGCATGCATTAGAGTTTTCCAGATTCTACATGATGTATAATGTAACCAGAGACTGAATGCAAAAGCAGCTATGAAAATCCAGCTGTCTCCTATTATGCTAGACAACAGTTGCAAAAATTTAAAATAATGCTGCTCTTTTTACTAAATTTTGTTTTGAAAAGATATTTTATGGAAACTATGGTTTATGTTAACAGGTAATGGATTATTTTTATTTGTAAGTGATTTAATAAATACACATTAAAAAATTTTCCGTTTTAATTTCTGGTACAGCAACGTCAATAAACGTGAGCCACAGCAACAAAAGCTCTTTGGGTTCTCAATAACTTTTAAGGGTAAAGGGGTCCTGAGAACAAAAAAGTTTGAGAACAGCTACAGTACACAATTATATAACCTGCCACACAGTGCCTTCCACAGATAAGAAGCTCAAGTTAACTCTGAAAAATAATTACTTCTTAGACCCTCTAATCTTGTTGAGTAATATATCTCCTTGGAAAGCATAATTCAGCATGAAGCCATTCTATCCTAGGCCTTATTTAAGGGGCTTTAGATATTTACGTATTTAGAGTCCTCTTTATAAAGATGTTCTGACCTATAATACTTCCTATTGTTTGAATAGTTTCTTAACATTTTTCACAAAAATTGCCTTATTCATCCTAACAGCAACCTGTGAAGTATTACCCTTTTTACAGATGACGTCATGAAACTGATGCTTAAAAGAAACAGAACTACTTGTCCAAGGATGTACTGCTAGCTAATAGGGCCTAGGGATGTTCAGCTTTTGCAATTGCTTGGCTGCTTTAAAGCTGTTTCACTGTGGTGTAATTCCAATGAAAACAGGGCAAGGGCATTACTTTTATTGTCCCAGTGCCAAAACAGGCATTTTTTTCGCTCGTTAATAAGAACATAATCAGACACAATACTCAGTCACCCCATTATTCAACACACTAGCTACCCTTTGATTCCCTACCAAAAGAGAGATAGAGAGAAAATTCAAGAGTGTTGGAGGATAAATACCAGAATATATAATCCTCCAAGATGATGAATTAGTTAAGGACACACACACACACACACACAGATAAGGACTCACAGATTTACTAATCATTTAATCACTGAAACAACAGGCAGGTAAGAACAAGATGGAGCTCAATACTGTAACATTAAATTAATGAATGGATGGATGCCAATAGGTTCAATTTACAGAATGGAATATGGACAGAAGAAAATCCCCACATAAAGTTAAACTTGCTTTATTGGTCTACAAACCCAAGTGAGAGGCAAAGTACCATCCTACCCCTTGGACAGAAATTACCCCTCCATTAGGGCTAGAAACTCTTGTTACCAGCACAAGTCTCTAGTTATGCTCCATTTTAACTTACATTCCTCAAGAAATGCCCACTTTTCTGCATCTCTTTTCCACGACTGACAAAGGCAAGACTGACTCACAAGAGGATATCTGCCATTTGCATGTGCCCAGCGAGGCCATTTTAAAATTTGATGTGATTTTACCAGAAAACAACAACAAAAACAACAACACAAAAACAGAATTGTGCTAACTGTCCTGTAGTTTATTTACAACAGATGAGCAAGAGTAATTTCATCATTCCTCATGAGGTATGCTTTTCCTAGTGTTGGCTTAGGCCATTTTTTTTTCAAATCTCTTTGGGAAAAAAATTAAAAGTTACAGTTATAGTATCACAGCTATAACTACAATTGTAGCTAATGCACCAACAACCAATTTGTAAAGCAATTCGACGCACCTTTATTTGTTGTTCCATACTCAAAACTCACTGCAAAAGATGTATTCATATGTAAGAGCTAATTTATACAAGTTTCTGTATCCTCATAAAAGAACTGCAATACTGCACTGTAAAACCCATTAACCGGTTGATCTTTAAAAGGCTTCTTGCAGAAAAAAAAACAATCCGACTTTACAAAGGCAAGCAAAGCACCAAACCTCTGAGAGGTCCGAGGGAAGCGGGGTTATTTCTATTCCTTATCCCAGAGTATATCTTTCTTTGTGGCGTTACCTATGTTTTCCTCCAAGGACATGATTACCATTGAAGAAGAAACCTGTCAAAAGTGTTACGGCAGCCTCTAAACTACCTTCCCAGCTGCAGCCCGTAACGAGAAATGTCACACAGCTAAATCGTACCAGGGCTGTGTGCCTAGATTTCTGCAAATAAATTTTAAGGTTTTTGTAGGGCACCGTTTGAATTTTACCCTACAATCCAAGCTACCACGGACCGTCTCAAATCTAATAAACAAAGACTCTAGCGGCGGCACCAGGGCCCTACCAGGAAGTAATCAAAGCCGTGCGGCCGGTGCGATCCTAAGTCGGCGGAACAGACAATAAGAGGGCACTGGGGTTTCCAACGGGCCGGCAGAAGGAGTTCATTTGCGTAAGCGAAGCAAAAGCATTGCATAAACCTAATAACTGTTACGCCGCACGTGAACTCGGGAACCCCAGCGCAGTTTCAGACCACACAACACCCTCCAGGCCATCGAGCCGCCCTCCCAAGCGGCTGTTGGGTCGGCTCCCGAGCTTTCCGGGCCACAGCTTGTTTTCAAACTTCACTCTCCCCGGGTGATGAAAGACTCCAACCTCGGCTGCCCGAGCGCTGAGCGCTGAGCACCGAGCACCTCCCGCGGCTCGGAGCTCCCGCCCGGCACAGATCGGGTTGCCTGCGGGCAAGCGGAGGGCAGCGGGGCTTGGGCCAGCGGCGAAAGGCCGGGGCGCCCCGAAGCCCAGACAAAGCTG